TAATATAAATAATATAAATAATTTATAATTATATATTTAAAAAAATTATATATTTAAAATTATATAATTATGATTTAATTAATTAATTAATTAAGATTAAATTATATAATTATATATTTTTATAAATATTTATTAAATTTCATTAATGTTAGATTAAGTTAAATATTATTTATATTGTTACACTCGCCGTGCGTTATCCGCTACGCACAATCGAATCGCCAGCCCGAGTGAACATGCACATTCGAATCGTGGAAATAACAACATGTAAATTATTAAAAAGCATTAAACTCTTTATTAATACTATGGACATATGAATATCTGGATGGAGCATAAAGCTAGCTTATGAGTGAGGGACAGCTTATGGCCGAGACAGTATAATCATACCCAGTAGTGACACTGAAAATCGGCACCTTTGATGTATTCTTCGATCACATGATTCACTACCATGTTGTGAAATTTACACAGTAGAGTTATGATAGAACAGGTTCTTAAATTTAAATTTCTATTAAGCTTTTAATACGTCCTCCATATTCCTAAGTGTACCGATGCATGACTAAAAATTGCAGATCACAAAAAGTTTACTGTCGCTATTGGTTATACTGTGACCGAGATCCGCGCGGCGAAGGAGTCAGCCATCTTGTCCGACGACATTTTAACGCTCTATTTGAAAATCGATATGTGTTACGGTATTATTTGTATAAAAGAAGATTTAATAAAAAGAAGAAATATTTTATGAGGAGGAGATCCAGCTAACCTAATCTAACCTAACCTAACCTAACCTAACCTAACCTAATCTGCAATTTCAATTTACTAAAAGCAGCCATATTCCTGATTGGAAATCGATGCATGCGCACTAAAAATTGGAGATCACATAAAAAGTTCAGTGTCCATACTGTATGTACTTATACTGTGCTTATAACTGATAACTACGATTAAAATTTAAAAAAATTAAATCTTTACATTCAAAGAATGTAAAGAAAGGTAAGGTATGAAAAAAAAGGTAAAACAAGAAAAAAAGGTGAAAAGAAGCACAGTATTGTAGTTAGCAATATTAGTATTTATTATACTTGTGTCTTTATGTTGTATTTTATTTTCAGAATAATTATAGCTTATAATAATTATAGATTTATTTTTCTCATAAAAAAAAGCAAGGACTTATAAAAAAAAATAAAAAGAAAAAGAAAAAAGTAAAAAGAAAGAAAAAAGGTGTAAAAGGAAGCATAATATTATTTAATAAAATATCAGTAATCATATTATATTCTACCATATATATTATTATATTATTATATTATTATATTGTATTCTACCATATTTTCAGTCGTTAGCTTTCTGAAATGAAAAATAAAAAATTTTAAACTCATATCAGACCCGTATCACGGTTACGATTAAGAGATGGTTACGATGGACTCGCTATATCATCATGATATCTGAAATCGGACAATTATCGTTATTGTCAAATAGTTTGATATCCTCCTCACAGAGGAGTGTACTAAAAAGAAAGGAAAAGGAATAAAAAGTGTAAAAGGAAGCATAACATTATATGGAGTTAAATATTATTATTTATATTATATTGTACAATAATATGTTTGTATGTTATTTTATTTTCAATTATATTAGCGATTTTTTATGAAAGAAAAAGAAGTCACAGAAAGAATAGGAAAAAATTGAAAAGAAAGGAAAAGAATGGAAAAGGAAAGGAAAAAGAAAAGAAATAGGCAGAAAGGAAATGGATGAAAAAGTGATATGAAAAGAAGCATGACTTTATTTAGAACAAAAAATTATGTGAAAAGAAGCATATTATTAAGATCAATATTAATTAATATATTAATATTCACATTAGCATATAAGTTGTATTTCATTTTTAGTTATTAGTGATTTTCATAAAAAGGATAAAGAACTTGTAGAAAGGAAAAATCCGAGAAAAAAGGGAAAAAAGGAGGAGGGAGAAAAAGAAAATAAAAGAGATGTAAACTAAAATATAATAAATAATGAAGTCATATAGACGACAATTCAAAATTTCCTCTCAATGAAAAGTGCACTATTTGCGAAGAATTCGGAAGATATAGAACTCTGTCCATTCATCAAACTAAAAGTAACATTATATTAATGATGTAATTTCATATTTTATAATATAAATGTAAAACATATACGTAATAGTCCAAAGAGAAGAGAATACATCAAGTCAAGAGAAAATCAAAATGACGTGACGATTTTTGGATGTAAAATTTGACTATTTATTGATTACTTTAAGCATAAAAATAAAGTCATTTTGATATGACTTTTTTGTTGATTTTTATGTATTCCTTGGGAGTTACATTGTAAAATGCAAAATTATAATACATTAACATCATGTTATTTTTAGTTTGTATCGACTGGGTGGTTTCAATGCTGCCTATATTCTGAATAAGTCCATGAAGAATGATAGTGATCCTGAGAATTACATATGCGATTTTTGTTTAAATAATTAATTTTTTTAATTTTTGTGTTATTTTTTCAAATTTTTATATTAATTTTGTACATTATAATAATATAGTTATATTTTTTCATTTTCTTATCAACATTCCATGAAACATTTTCCATGAAATATTTATTTTATTCATTTTATATTTATGTCTTACAATAAGTATTTTCGTAGGCGAAAAATGAGCATTCGATGGATTATACTTGTTTTCGAATAGTTGGAAGCATCGTAGAAATAAGCGCCAGATATCTGGTATTCGATATTATTCAGCACTTTTTTACTATCTGACCGGATAGCTGGATATCATTATCCGGGAATATATCCGGTTAAAATTTGATATCATTAAATTGTTAACTTTTTCTTACAAATGTTCTAGAAATAAGTATGCATATTCATGATACTATAATATCTTATACATTGTTGCAACATTACAATCTTTTTCCCTATAGGCTTTTTTTTGCATCCCTAGTAGAAAATGTAATATGAAATACCCAGATTATTAAATTTTCTAGTATGAAATAATCTATGCTTCTATGTCATAATGAAAATCGTTGTTAAAATATAAATGTTGTACAATAATAAAAAAGATAATCGAAATAAACATCGGGTTACCTTATTTCTGTGATGCTTCCAACTATTCGAAAACGAATTATAGGTATAATCCATCGAATGCTCATTTTTCGCCTACGAAAATACCTATTAGTTACGCTGGCTGTGTTCGTATTTTAGAAACATTAAAGTTTTTTAATTGCAATAATGTATTTTTGCGTTTTATTATTAATTTTTCAGGACATTTCATATTAGCATAATTTTTTGACTTTGCGATTTGCTTACTTATTACACTTTTTAATTTAAAAGAAAAATAGAATTTAAATTTTAAATTTTACATAATATTATCTTAAAATTTATTAAATTTTCTTCAAAATGATGTATTACTTTTTTTTTTAATTCTGCCTATAGACTTCTAGTATTTACCCAAAATGAACGGAATTTCATAATAGGAGTATTTCCTTTACATACAGGGTGGGCCATTTAAAATTTGGAATTTAATTTGGCTCTAAAAAAAAACGCATGAATATTTTTCAAAATTTATGGCTTTATTGGAAAGGTAGTAGTACATTGCCCTTAAACATGAAATACAATTCATTCAAATGACTTCCACGGCTGGCTGCATAATACCCCATTCTATCAACCCAATTTTTCAGTACATTTTCCACTGTATGGGCGCGTATTTCATCGATGGCAACTTTGATTTCATATTTTAATTCTTGAATCGTTTCTGGCTGGTTAGCGTAACACTCGTTCTTGACGGTTCCCCATAAAAAATAGTCCAGCGGAGTCAAATCGCAGCTGCGAGGCGGCCAATTGATATCAGCATTTCGGCTGATTATGCGATTTTCGAAGACAGTGCGCAAAAGATCGATTGTAGATTGGCTGTGTGGCAAGGTGCGTCGTCCTGTTGAAACCAAATGTCGTCTGTATCCTCTTCTTCAAATTTGGGAAGCAAGAATTCGTTTAGCATGGCGCGATAGCGCTCGCCATTGACAGTGATGGCAACTCCTTGCTCATTTTCGAAGAAAAATGGCCCAATGATGTTGCCAGACCAAAAACCACACCAAACAGTCACTCGTTGTGGATGCATCGACTTCTCCATGATGACGTGTGAATGCTCTGACCCCCAAATACGACAATTCTGCTTATTCACATAGCCACCGAGGTGAAAATGAGCTTCGTCAGAAAAGATGATTTTTCGGTAAAAATTCTCATCTTCAACCAAGCGTTGTTCAGCCTATTGGACGAACCGAAAACGCATCGGATGATCATGCGGCTTCAATTCTTACACTAATTGAACTTTGTATGGCTTCATATCGAGGTCTTTATTCAAAATTCTTCTCAAAGAAGTGTATGAAATGTTTAAGCTTTGAGAACGATGACGAGTTGATGTTGATGATTGTTTAAGCACACTCTGAGCAATGACAGCAATGTTTTCGGTTGATCTTACTGGACGAGCACGTGAACGAATTGCTTTATCCAATAAGGATCCAGTTTGCCGAATTCGCTTCACAAATTGATCGACAAACTGCGTTGAAGGCATTTCTTTCCAAATTTTCCACGTAAATTTTTTATAGTTTGGGTTGAAGACTCACCACTTTGGAAGTAAGTTTTCAATATTTCCCAATTTTGTTCAAGCGTATAGCGACCCATTTCGTAAATGTCAAACAAAATAAATTTCTGATACGTCATAAATGTTATTACGCTTTTTAAACTCAAAATAACCGGTAATTGAAATTCCAAACGCTAGATGGCTCACCCTATATATGTATATGTATAGATGTGTATATGTATAGATGTGTTCCAAGTTACGCATAAAGCGCATGATGCATTATTTGTGTCCTGGTTGTTCACCAAGAGAAATTAATAAAGAAGAATAAAATGATACATTGTGCACAATTCGGAATGCAATCTATATTGTTCTCTTTAGAACTCAAATCTATTTGATTTCGTTATCGATTTCGTCATAAATTTCGATCTCTGATAACTTTCACACTTCAGTTGTCATATGCTTCTCGTCTAAAAAAAAACCACTAAAAATTCGAAATTCTTGTTCATAGATGCCAAACTTAAATTAAAATCTCTCGTGTTTAACAAATAAAAGTTCATACATGTGCAAAGCAACAAGCAAAATGATTTCTTCATTAATAACAGACATTTACTTAAAGTAATATGAAGAAGTTGTCAAGGTAATTATCCATTATAAAATAAAGATTATTTTTTCTTTAAAGATTAATTACTGTTCACTATGCTTATTAAAGAAAAACATTACATTTTATTTATAATAGTTATTTGTTCTACAAAAATTTTGTGATAAATTCTGATTGTGATAAATTCTAATAAAAATAAATTACAACATAACAACTGATTTTATAAAACTGTAGGGAAGAAGGACGAACCGAGCATTAGCTTTAGAGATAAATTTTATCAATTTGAAATTTATTTTAAATTTCCTTTTTTGTAGCCAAAAACATTATTTTCATCGGAAATGGCAATGGTACCAATAAAGTATACGTCGAAAGAACAACAAGTCGGTATGAAATTAACAGATGAGAAAAATTGTGAAAAATCGGAAAAGAAATTGACAGTGCTCGAATCACACGGTTATACACTCGGAAAGACTATTGGTGCCGGATCATATGCCACCGTCAAAGTAAAACTACTCTATTTCCTTTTTTTTCCCTTCCTTTTTCATGTCACAATTTTTTTGAATTTCAAACATTTTTATGTATTAGATCGCAAAGTCTGATCGATATGATTATCAAGTGGCAGTGAAGATAGTCTCGAAATTCCAAGCGCCTGGAGAATACCTTACGAAATTTCTACCCCGTGAGATTGAGGTGGTCAAAGGATTAAAACATCCAAATCTCATTCACTTTTTGCAAGCAATAGAAACCACACATCGGTTAGATTATCTTTCGGATTAATCTTTGAATAGCATTTGTAGAGAGAGTAGCAGAATAGAAACGATTGAATGGAAATTTGCCTCATAAAATCGAATTTTTGTTAGGAATATCTGTCAATTTCTTCTAAACTTGCTTTTTTTCCAGAGTATATATTATTATGGAATACGCGCAGAATGGTAGCTTACTTGATGTTATACGACGTGATACTTACATTGATGAGTTACGTAGCCGTAGGTGGTTTAGACAACTTTTAGAAGCCATCGATTATTGCCACGAGCATGGCATAGTGCACAGGTAAAGAAAAATACAATTATCATAAGCGAAAAGTAAAGTAGCTTTTTAAGTGTTGTTGAAAGATGTGGTAAAGCTTCATCGAGAGACATCTTACATCTAACTTACATCTAACAATAATAAATAAAAAGATTATTCAAAGTCGATTGCATTAATGTTCATAAATATTGATTATTAAAATTGATCTTGTCGAGAATAATTTTTTAATATAATTCTCTCTTGAAAATTCTTGCAGAGATATAAAATGCGAGAATCTACTCATGGATTATCGTTTCAATATTAAATTGTCTGATTTCGGATTCGCGCGTGGACAAATGAAGTTAAAGAATGGCGAGTGGCCTCTCAGTACAACCTACTGTGGTAGTTATGCTTATGCGTCACCCGAAATTTTACGTGGCATCCCTTATCAGCCTCAACTCTCTGATATATGGTCCATGGGCGTAGTACTTTATGCTATGGTTCATGGTCGACTGCCATTTGACGATACAAATTATGCGCAACTGCTAAAGGTACCCAGGTATATGCCAAGATTGATATATCCAGCGTATACTTAGATCGATTCTAAAGGCTTAAATACAATAGGCACAGGCAATAGGCAAAGGCAACAGTAAATAACGAGCAATCAGAGTTTCAGTGTGTAAGTTCGATATTATATTCCAGAACTCTGATTGGAGCTCGTTATTTTCTGTTTCCTGTGCCTGTTGTGTTTAAGTTACCTTATGTTACTTCACCTCCGATTTCGATGAAATTAGGTTCATTCGTTGCATAAAATGAAAGAATCTGACAGAAAAAAATCTGAGACTGCTTGACGAAGCGAAATATTGAATATTAAAGTTGACTAAAATGTTACTACGTAACATGATCATTAATCTGTGTATAGTAGAATGTATAGACTAGTGCTTATTGGTTCGGGATGGCTAATAAATAACATATTCTACCCGCTTGGGATCTAATCGCCTAGAAGTTGCAGTGTCTATTTAGAATATTTCTAACTCATGAAGGCTGGTCAAAGTCTCGCTACAAATGCTTTGAAGCATTTGATGGACCAATTAGAAAAAAGAATTTTACAAACTGATCAATTAAAAAACGTTTCAAAACATTTGCAGCATCGTGTTGACCTGAAGACAGTGAGGATTTCACACAATAAAAGAAACAGGGAACAGAGAACAGAGAATAAGAATTTCAACCTATCAGAAATTGTGTATTCCAAATGAATACAATTCCACAATACATGATTTTTGATAGGTTGAAATTCTTATTCTCTGTTCTCTGTTTTTTGTTCCTTTTATTGTGCGGGATCCCTGAGATATGAGAACCATAAAGCTTATACTACTAGAGGGGAAATACGGACGAATTGTGAGCAAGACTGAGAGACTAAAGAAAGATGTATTTCTCTTCTATCCTCTTTTGGCACATGCGCAGAAAGAAAAAAAGTTATTGAGCAGGACAGAAATATATACATCTTCTATTTCTCAAGGTTTGTTAGCGTCGGAGCACTTGGATCATGTAAGGTGGCGATTGGATAGTTTCATGTGCTCATTCATGTGCTCTAATGTTCAGTGACACGAACGGACAAATGAGCATATTACCTAATCTATGAACCACTTGATGAATGGATCGAACATGTGCCTTGTTTTGTGTCAGGTATTTTGTGTTTCCTTATTTGAAAAGAGTTTTTATACCAAATAAATGCGCTTTTAATAAATATAAAAGTTATATTATATTTTTATATTATATTGTATTTTATTTTATTGTATTGATATTATTTTATTTTATTTTTTAATTTTGTAATTTTATTTATTTTATTTATTTATTCTTTTTATTTTATTTATTTTATCTTATTTTTTATTATTTTATTTTATTAATATTATATTGTTATATTGTTGTATTTTTATATTTATATTAAAACGTATAAAAACGCATTTATTAAATGTATTTTTATACAAAATGAATCTGAAATACTTTTTTCGATACAGTATGTTTTATTATTATGCATGCAATTATTATGCATGCGTCCGTAACATGCCCCAATCGTACCATTTTCTGAGGTGAGGCAAATCGAACGTGCTCTTAATTGATTCATGGATTATGCTCTAATGCGAACATCTAGGATGCGTTCGAGGAAACGCTATTCGCGCTTTAGCGCTACAAACTGTTCGCGGAGCTGCAGATAGCGCTAACAAACACGATCATGACACTAATGATAGTGTTACGTCACAACTACGCGCTATCAACGTTATTTCTTCCGATATAGTGTATTGATAGCGTTAGCGTTTACAGATCTATGAACGACCTTGTGTAGTGTAGCGTTTAACATTCGTCAAGATTAGATTAATGTTTGAGGGGATTGTTCTCGAGTGGCACCAAACTTCTCTCTCTTTAAAATTTCGTAGAGTAAACGTAATGCGTGAATTTCAAATTTTATTGTAGTGAATGCAATCTCAATTTCTCTGCAATTGATGACTTGCCACTAGGCTGGAGTGAATGTAATTCTAGCTTGTATCATCTTTAACTTTTCAAAGTTTCTACCGAATTCAACTTGTATTTGATTTCATTACAAATGTAAAAGTCAAAGGTATTTTCTTATTACTGACGATTTTTAATTCCCATGAAAAAAGTTACAGTTATACGCTATTGCAGTATAGCATGGCAGAGTATTCCATTGCAGATGCTTATTAGATGTAGATACGCTTCTTCTCAAATTGACAATGGATGCTTAAGGATTCTTTCTTTTATCTGATTAATTTAAATGGCCTAGTTTCCACCGAAGGTTTAAACTGAATCAGAATATAAGAACCAACTAACTATTGGGTTGTCCGGAAAGTTCGTGCTGACTAACCTATATAATTTAATAAATGTATACTAAAATTTAAATCTGCGTTTCAATTTTCCTTCAACGGCACGAACTTTCTGGAAAACCTAATACAATCGTGCATTCCCCTTTCGTTCGATTGTAACAATACTCGACTGTAGTTGATAGTTCTTACATTTTGATCCGAATTAACCCTCGGTGGAAAATAGGTCAGTATAACTATTAATTATTTATTTAGTTTATATTGTTCATTCCGACCTAGTGGCAAGCCATCATAGAGATTGATTGTGTTCTGTTATTCACTACGAGAAAAAGATTTACAAATCCTTTAACGTTGCAAATACTTTACAAAATCCTAAAAATTTAAATTACAGAGAAAAGTTTGGTCGGTAATTGAAAACAGAATCTCCTACATTAACTTAACCTCAATAAATATTAAATCTTTCTGGTTAAATGCTATCAAGGCTACGCTAGAATCGTTCATGGAGCGATCTTTGCTAACGCTATCGCGCTATTGATTCCATGAACAGCGTATCGTTTGCGTCCAATAGCGCGAATAGTGTCTCCCTGAACGTACCCCTAGTCGCCATGTTGATTCCGGTGACATGAATGTATTAGGCCGGAATCAGACTACGCATTGAAGAATGAGATTGAAGATTGAAAAATTGAAATTTAACTAATCAGAACAAAAAGAGCCAAAATTTGTTTGTTCTCATTAATGAAATTTCTATCTTTAATCTCAATCTTTAATGTATAGTCTGATTCCGGCCTTAGTGTTGGATATGTTAGAGATGCGACGCGAACAAACCTTCAGTCTTGCTTCCATTCAAACTTTCATTCATAAGCCATTCTCCCTCTAATGATATAATCTCTATGGTGAGAATAGTTTTTAGAGTTGTCTAGGTTGCAACTTCTAGGCAGTTAGGCCCTAAACGGATAGGATATGTTTTTTTTTGTTCGAGGCAGTGTAACTATCCCGAACCAATAAGCACTATTGTCTATACCCTTCACATGATAGATTTCCTAACCTCAATAGTTGTCAACTTTAACGCTCAATATTTTATTTCATAGGGCAATCCCGGACTTTTTTCTGCCAGATTCTTTTATTTTACGCAAAAACGCGTCGAATGAGCCTAATTTCATCGAAATCGGAGATGAAGTAGTTTCTAAAGAATTATCTTTTTTTTTTAAATTATAAAAGTCACGAAAACATTTAAATATTTATATATTATATATATGTAGTATAAATAGAATAATCTTTCCTAAATATAAAAAAATATTAGTTAAAAGATCATTGTTCTTATATTAAAGCACTAGATATGTAGGTATTCTCATCCACCATTTTGGTTCTACTTGATTGTATAGTACAATTAGTAACAAAGGCACTGACGAGATACTACACCGTCAATCTTAAAGACTGTCAATCCTGGGCAAATTTTTCGGAATAAAAAGGGCTCCAAGAGCCCAGAGGTAATTGAAGAACGCTAACATTATCGACAATTGATATAAATTTGCTATTATTAAATATTTAGTTAATACATTATTAAATTCATGATTTTTACATAAATATGTATATTTATAAGCTGTAATATCCTAATTTTGTAATTTTAATGTTTTAAAATATAGCAACTAAATATAACAACTAGCTATTGCTCTAAGCCCTTTCTTTCATTTTAATAAATTTTATTAATTGAGCGTGGATATTCAAATTTATATAATATAATTATATATTGAAAAATTACAATTTTTTTCTCTGCAGTTATCATCTCTGTTGATAATCAAACTTTGATGAACAACACTGAAATCACAATTTTAAAGAAAAATCGAGTATTATTGAGTTCTAAATGCATAAATATATCTACTAAATTATTAAATCAAAATTAGTGCAATATTATCAATTTTAAACTTTATTATTAGGTGTACAACTTTGTTTCCGCCGTTTTTTTTGCGAAATTCGAGGCTTTATTGTAAAAAACTGGTTATACATTTATGATTCAAAGTATTGTCCATCGCTGGCCATTACTTTCTCCCATCTTTCGGGTAACGTACGAATCCCGCGTCGAAAAAACTGATCATCTTTTGAGGCTATCCACGAATCGATCCAATTTTTTATTTCTTCATAAGACCGGAAGTGCTGGTCAGCCAGGTCGTGTGCCATTGATCGAAACAAGTGATAGTCAGAGGGAGCAACGTCTGGAGAATACGGCGGATGGGGTAGGACTTCCCATTTCAACGTTTCCAAGTATGTCTTGACCACTTTCGCAACATGGGGTCGAGCATTGTCATGCTGCAAAATCACTTTATCGTGTCTCTCGTTGTATTGCGGCCGTTTGTCTTTCAATGCTCGGTTCAAACGCATTAATTGCGTTCGATACCGATCGCCTGTGATTGTTTCAGTCGGTTTTAACAGTTCATAATACACTACGCCGAGCTGGTCCCACCAAATACAGAACATGACCTTGGAGCCGTGAATATTCGGTTTGACCGTCGACGTAGAAGCATGGCCGGGAACTCCCCATGATTTTCTGCGCTTGGGATCCCGTAATGAACCCATTTTTCGTCCCCAGTCACAATGCGATGCAGAAATCCCTTCCGTCTTTATCTTTCAAGCAGCTGTTCACAAGCAAACAAACGCCGTTCAATATCTCTCGGCTTCAATTCGTACGGCACCCAATTTCCTTGCTTCTGAATCATTCC